ATCAGTGTGGAGGCTGCTGGATTCGACTCCACTAGGTTGGGCTGCCGTGAGTGTAAGGTGGGAGTTGGGGCGAGAATTGGGGCTTGGGACGATTTCCCTTTGCCCTTGCCCTTACTTGATACGACTCTAGCGGCCGGAACTTGAGTCGAAGTTGCTTGAGATGGTGTTGGTACTGCAGGAGCTGGAGGCCTCCGAGCGCGCGGCACCGGTGGTACGGGAGGGGGGACGGTAACACCCAACATCCTCGCCCTCCTGCGGTAGGCCACGCACCGTTTGTCAACGGCTGCGTGGTCCTTTCCGCAGTTGGCGCAGGTGAAGGGCCCCTCCCTCGGCCTCGGGCAGTCCGCCACGATGTGCTCACCCGCACAACGCACACAGCGGACCGCTCGGTGGCAATTGGTGGAGGCGTGACCGAAGGCCTGGCAGCGGTGACACTGCGCCGGCCCACGGCTTGGCCGCCATCCCTCAACTGACACCCCCGGCAGGTACAGCAGTTCTTCAACTGCGTACAAGCGGGCGAGGCCTTCTTTAGAGAGGTGGTCGAGGGTAACGTAAAAAACGCACCCCGGCCTCCCTCTCTTAGCCCGTATGCATCGGGCATAGCGAGCCGGAAACCCCAGCTCCTTCAAGGAATTTGTGATTTCTGCCGCGTCGGTGTCGGCAGGTAGTCCGCGAATAGCCACCCTTGTCGGGATGTCCTCCTCCAACGCGTAGCAATACCATTTGATGGCACTGTCCGCTGAGGAGGCCCCGGCAAGGTAGGCCTGGACCACTCTATATTCCTCTGCCGACGCTGGCAGAAATCTGAACCCTGTTCCGTAAGGGCGCACGGAGGGTGCCCTCCCCAAGCGCTCCCTGATGGCCGCCATATGGCGGGACCAATTTGGGAGCACTTCCACCATAATAGGTGGATGACGGCGGGGCTCCTCCTTAGTGCGCGACCTATTTGGGGCAGTGGAACTCTGGTGGGTGTGTTGTTGGTGTTGTTGGGTGGGTACGGGTCGCGTGGCTGCTATAGCCGCGTATGAGGTGGAGGGGACTGGCGAGGGGTTTGGGATAGGGATTGGTTTAGAATTGGAGACGGAGGGTTCAAGGTCCATGTACCTAGTCGATTCTAGGTTGCCCACCATGCAGCCTGTGGTGGGGGCACCTCTTGGCCTATCCGTTGGAATGGGGGAGATGGTAGGAGAAGGAGACCGAGGAGGCGTACGCAGCTGCTTGGCTGGTGGGCTCTCCACTGTCCCTAAACACTTCCTCGGCTTGGGAATTGGTTTGGAGGGGGGAGAGGACTCCACCCTCGAAGAGGAGGTACGCGAGGGGTTGGATGTCTTGTGTTCTGTGTCGGTGTCTGCCTCTATTTCGGACGTTTCATAAGAGGAAGTCGTCGCCTCGCTGTCGTCGTCCTCGTCGTCCTCGACTAAGGATTTGGACGAAGGTCCAATACGGGGTCGTTTATCTACACCCTCTGCAGAACTTCGGTCGGACTCAGACCTGGCCTTCTTTCGCGGCCGAGAGGTCCCAGAGTTATCGGCCGGTAAGGGAAAGAGACTTTCCCCCGGACCGATCCTCGGAGACCCCTGGGCCGCGACCGAGGGCCCGGGCTTGTTGTCCGGTGCAGTGCCCTGTTCCGGGCGGACGGGTAGAGAGCGGTACGTAGAAGTACTCGCTACCACTTCAAGTCCCTTTCGGGACGGGCCGGGTGTGCTAATTATGGGGGGTGGGTTCCCCCCCGACATGTTTTAGACTGCTATCAGTGGCTACCTGGACATCGAAATCCCGCTCGGGCAGGAAGGTCTATCTAAAACTATTTGAGAAAAAGGCTTTAGAGAAGCCTGGTGTTGTAAAACGCGCTGGGTTGGTTGGGTGGTATTAAGTTCAGAACCGGTAATTTGCTGTACTACTAAACTCTACTTAAATATCTACTAAATCAGTGAGTTATTCTTAATTAAACTAAATCCTGGCGCCAGTCCGAGCCGAGCGGAAATAGGCGCACTAACCAGTGAACAGGTGCAATTGTAATTAATAATCAGTATGTATTTCAAAGAAAATTGACAAAACTGAATTTAAATTAATTGTAAGAATAGCTATTAATATAAATAATAAAATGAAATGAAATAAAATAACAAGTGTTCGAATTAAAGTAAATAAAATTAAATTAATGTTTAAATTATTAGAAGGAGATAATTAGAATTAATTATAATTAGTATATCAGTCAAAGTAAATGGGCTTGACTCGTATACGCCGGGACCTACACTCCCTATGAGGGTCAGCCAGTCCGAATAACCCGAGTCGAAATATAGAAAAACTCAAGTTCTCTGCTTCCGAACCCGGGCACTCAGCTAAGCGATCCACAAACCTAAAGCTATACGTCTCCCTTTACCGACTCAATAATAACCAATTAATAAACTACTTGATCTAACACTATTTAATCTAAAACTAGTCAATTATAACTATTCACTGAGCCGGTACGTCACCGCCGACTCACACCCTCGCCAGCGGAAAATTAAAGAAAATTGATAAAAATTGAAAGAAAAAAGAAATCAAAACAAGTTAAATACAACAAAATAAATCAAATCAACAATTTAGAACAACCTATAATATTAAATCAAAAGAAATTAATAACTAACTACTACTATCTAATTCAAAACTATTGTAAAACAAGTGTGAACACTTATGAAACCTGTTCTGTCTGCCGGTACCTTACTTAAGTAACCAAAATGAAATTATTTACAACGCGAATACACCTAGAAAAAATTAAGCTTATTGAGGGTAGTTGAAATTAAAACGTAAGTGAATTTAAATTAAAAGACAAAAGAAACAACGACGCTCATTGGCTGTCGAATTACTGCACTATGATAACTAGTTGAATAAAAATTAAAAAGTGGTTCTATTTTGGATGTACTAACTACTATTATTGGTAATAATGAATATTATAAGTATAAAATGTTTTTGAATCTAAGATTGAGTTAAATTGACTCTAAAAATTAAAGAAAAAAAGACACGTAAAACTAGAAACTAACTTAATCTAAGAACCTACCTTCAGCGGGACTCCGAAGCCGCCAACCTACAACTGAACAGTCTGCTAGTCGGGTGTTGGTAGCAGCCCCTCCTAACCCCTTGGGGCAGGGGAGGACTGGGATCAGACACGGATGGCCAGACTCAAAGGCGCTTACGTCGACCAATTTTTATTATCAAATAAAAATGGTTACGCAGCTTTCCCAGGCTGGTCGACACCTACCCGCAATTAACAGATGTTAAAAAATGAATGTGTCAACCTACTCACCTGTTCCCGGGTCCTGCGTTTCGCTGCTCGGAACGTTTCCGCGCCGACACAGCACCGCTAGATTACACACACTCGCGTTGGGATCACAATACCGTACAGCACAATACACAGTAAGGTTCCACGTCGCACTGGTGTCCCATTAAACAGTTAAAGCTTTCGTTTATAATAAAGTATACTTATATATTACCATTTGGAGCAATAAGAACTTTTGAAAGCCGAAAGTGGCCACTAATAGTTTACCATCTGATACTTTGGCCAGTTCTTTATCGGTCGACTTTTTTGGCGAGCTATCTCTTTATTTTTAATATGTGCTTCATATAGTGTCAGACTAGATATATTCTTATAGATATGACACTTGTCACATCGGTATTTCTTTGGCATATAAAAATTAATCTTAAAGTATGCATTAACGATGTCGCGATATTGCCGTTCAGAACTAGCTTTTGGAGAGTATGTTAATGTATTAAATCACTTATTATACAACTCAAACAAGCGTTGGAAATTTAGATCTCCGTCTAGGTAAATTTTACTACTTCCTCGGCAAGAGTAATGAGACTCTACAGGCTGAAGAGATTTTATGTGATCGCATATACTTCTGATAACATCCCTAGTTATTACTTTGCGATGATTAGTATGACGCCCTCGCAGATCCGCTTCTATCAAGCCACTTACCTTACTTAACTTTATTTTCTAAAGACTTATAGACAAATTGTTTACTTAATAGAAATGTGCTTAGAAACATCTTCTTGTACACAGTTAAATAGTTTTCCTGGTCGTCTAAAACAGCCCTTGGGAATCTATATATCAAAGTAAACCTACGCCTAGATTCCATATCAGTGAAAATCCTTAGTTTTTTGTTTGACAACCAAGTTTTCAATAAAGGCTTACTGCTTTTCACGGTTTCCTAAATCTTAAAACCTATTGAAAATCAATGTNGTTGCGCCCGACTATGCTTGTGTAAATAATATAATTTTGAGTAGTGTTGTGAATGTATGATTGTTTAGCGTATTTGTGTACTGTATGAGAGTGTGTTATAGAATACGTAATTAAATATGATATAATATTAAATATTGCGTAGGTGTACAATGTAAATTAATAAATAATATGAACTAATATACATAAATATAGTAGAAACACCTACATCGACTGTCGCTTATAGAGGTATAGATAAGTAGCAGTCTCACTTATGGAGGTCCATAAGGGAAAAACGACTCTCTCTTACAGAGGTTTCTGTTTCTCGCTAATAGAGGTTTTGGGAGCTTAAAATGACGGTTCCTGGCTATTACTCTCACTTTTTCTCACTTACCCAGGTTAGACTGTATTACAATCTTTGTATATAAATTTTGAATTTCAGAATAAAAACCATGTATGAGGGCGTAAGGGATGTACTCCAGAAATATAGATCAGGCAAATTACCGAAAGCTTTCAAAATGGTGCCACATTTGCAGAATTGGGAGCAAATTTTATACTTAACAGAGCCCACTACTTGGTCAGCAGCTGCTATGTATCAGGTTAACAATAAGAAAATACTAATAACAATAAATTTAGCACTTGAATAATACTTAAATGTGTGGCGTTCATGAATGAGCTTCGGAAAATCATAGCTTTAATCAGAATTGAAGGCTTTATTTAATGTTATCACATTATTCATTATTATTATTGGTTTGCAGGCAACTAGAATTTTTGCATCAAATCTTAAGGAGAAGATGGCTCAGAGGTTTTATAATTTAGTTTTACTACCACGTGTCAGAGATGACCTTGCCGAATACAAAAGGTTGAATTTCCACTTGTACCAAGCATTGAGGAAGGCCCTGTTCAAACCTGGTGCTTTTATGAAGGGAATTTTACTACCGTTATGTGAGGTAAGATGCCAAGTTTGGGATTAAAATTAATATAAAAGTGATATGTGTTTTGTACAACACACTGTAGAGGAGTGAGTCACAATCAAAATTTTAAACAAATAACTTTTATTTTTATTCTCTTGTCTTCTCATCTCAATCACATAGTTAGGCCCAAGCCAAACAACCATTGATAGGAAGGTATGCTTGGTATTTGTTGAGTAATTTTTTCTGTTATTTTTAATGGTCCTATTATGTGATTCATATTGCATTTGATTGTTGTTCATTTTGAAGAAATTTCCTGACGTATCTGCAATTGTTTAGGTTTGCTGCCTTTTGTGATAGGTAGTAGGATCATAGGAAAAATGCTACAGATTCCATGGACCGCCTTTCGCACCAACATGTCTATTCTGAGAGAGCTTCATATCAAAGCCAGACTCTCCACTATATGCCTTCGTAGGGTGCTGGAATTCTTCGGACATATTGCTCGTAAAGAGGGTCACAATCTTGAACAGCTGATGGTGACAGGAAAGGTAGATGGCAAACGTCCCAGAGGACGCAGTCCCACGAGATGGTCGGACCAAATACGATCTTCTCTGAGNTGGTGACAGGAAAGGTAGATGGCAAACGTCCCAGAGGACGCAGTCCCACGAGATGGTCGGACCAAATACGATCTTCTCTGAGCATCAATTTCCATAATGCCCTTCATGAAGCAAAGGATCGCGGCAGATGGAGGGAAGTCGTATGGGAGAAACTGATGCAGCGGGGGAGTCTCGACCCTCAGTAATGAGGAAAACGACGCGAGGAGGAGTAGGATCATTATGTTAATTGATTGATAAAGCTGTAATTTGATATCATTCCTGTTGTTGCCAATCCTGTGGAAACTAAGGTTACTCTTTGGATAAGCCAGAAATGCTTGTGCATCTTCTTCATTCTGTTGTGCATATTTGGAAAAGTATTCAGCTATTGTTTGTGACTGCGTTCCACGAATGGATATTGCAAATAATCAGTTTAGGTTTTTTTACTAGTGTAATAATATCTTGTTGATAACAGTATATTGTTAAGTCTGACAAAATAGGTCTATCAAAGTATAGATTTGTTGTTGAATTTTCTAGAATAGTTTCAGGATTGTATTAGTAGTATGGTTTAAGTTTCTACGAGATTGTAATTGTGGGTTTGGTGAATTAAGTGGGAAATAATATCGAGGAGTGAAAGGCTATTTGGTTTTTGCAACTTTGCAGGAGTACCATTTGAAGTTTAAATTTTGAAAGAAAAATCTTTGCAGTAGTACCATTTAAAGTTTAAATTTTGGAAGAAATACCAGAACAAAAAAGTTCTTCAGATATTTTAATGGAGTAAAGTTAATAAAATGTTGCTTAAACTAAAAAGAATTTCACCCCTTTACATGATCATGCCTGTGTTTGTTATCAGTTTGAGCTTGAGCTTTTATTTCAATGCACTTGCGGCAATGTAGGTAGAAGCATTGAAGTGCCCATATGCTCCAGTACGTGCCTAACACTCTTGGGACTTTATAAATTTAGTAGTATTTTGTGATTTCAGGCTGGGGATTGTACGCTAAGAGAAGCTATAATTGTTGGATCTGTGCTGGCACGTAATTCAGTACCCGTTTTACATTCTAGTGCTGCTTTGTTAAAAATAGCTGAAATGGATTATAACGGTGCTAATTCAATTTTCCTGAGAATCCTTTTTGATAAAAAATATGCTCTTCCATATAGAGTTGTGGATGCTGTTGTTTTTCATTTTTTGAGGTAACTATAAATTGGTTTTATAATTCTTTGTTATACACTTAACAATCTTCTTTAGATTGATTAGTTGTGTACTTACAAATAAACAAATGAAAACTCAAATAAGATTCTTCTTTTCACACGAATTGTTGAAAAAAGTTAGATGTGCTATTTCACAGGTTTCAATCTGAGGCTCGTGTATTACCTGTATTATGGCACCAAGCTCTATTAACGTTTGTACAGCGTTATAAGGCAGATATATCAACTGAGCAACGAGATGCACTTCTAGAGTTATTGAGAAAACAATATCATCCTACAATAACACAAGAGGTAAATTTTTCTGAATATTATATTATTTTTACTTGATTTTCCATGTAAATATAGCACTAGCACTTAAACTCTAAGTATTTATTAAGTACCTTTAGAACATTCCAAAATTAATATTTATGTTTTTACTATAGATTAGACGGGAGTTACAACAAGCTCAATGCAGAGATATTGAAGTAAATGAAGAAGCAACTAACATGATGTCAGTTGAATAATATTATCATGAATGTATGTATTAAAAAAATGTTTATTAAATAGTAATAAAAGCTTATCATCAGTAATGAATTATTTTCTTTTCATTCAGTGTTTGATTTATTTAATTTTAATGCATTTTCAGATAATATAGGTCTATCCACTTGGCTGCTAGTAAAGTGTACTGGTGGTAAAACTGTTTCACCACATTCACATTTTCTCCCAGAAATGTAGTCGAATGATCCGATTCTGCAACTGCATTTTTCACAGTTTAATCTACCTTTGGTCCATTGCTCATTTTCAATTCTGGACTTAATCCATTCGGGCAATTTGTCTTCCATTAAATAAATCACTTTCTTAATGTCGTAACTGTTGCACTTCTGTGGATCACATTGAAAGTTCTGATTAGTAATAAGAGATATGTCATCGATTAATTTAGTGCGACATTTTAGACATTTGATAGTATTCGATTTGCAAGAAATCATTAGGTATTAAATTAATTTTGCGTGACAAAAACAAACTGTATTATTCAATTTAGGTTATGAAATGGATTTTGACAGTTAATATATTCTTTCTCCAACTGAAAAGTCAAAAGGTATCATACCATACAGCCTAATCTTTTATATAATTTTTATATATGAAAAATGATATGAAATGATATGAACTTGATTATGATGGTATGAAATGAAATGAAATAAAAACAAAATGGAATGAAATGAGATGAGATGATATGGGATGAAATATAATCTCAGTAAAATGGTGATCATTGATTACTGACACTTTTTTAGTGGACTTTTTACCTATTTAGTGTTTTTTACCTATTTTGCCTATTTAGTGTTTCCTCAGGTTTAAATGTGTAATAACGGTGGTTTATTGACTGTTTAGTATCTGTGAAAGTGCACAAATGTGGGAAAATGAAACAAAGCCGCTGAACGTAACTTCTCCAGATCCTCCAAAAAGTCCACTGAAAAAGTCTCAGTAAATAATCACCATTTTACTGAGGTTTTATTTCATCCCATATATGGGACATTATAATCTCATTTCATTCCATTTAATTTCATGCCAATTGATTAAGGTTCCAAACTAATCAGCTTCATTTCATTTCACTTCTTATTATCTTTTTTTATAAAAAAATATATGAGAGATTAGGGTGTATGCTATGAGATAGATACCTTTGTCTTTTCAGTTAGTAAAATAGAATTACTACTACTACTACTACTACTACTAGATGACTCTGGCTTACAATATACAGGGCAGAACTAAGGAGTGCCATTTCAGTGTATCAAAAAGTGTTCGGAAAGAGAGCGAATTAAGGTGGCAAATAGTATCAAGTGAAAAGATTTAAAAAACAGCACCATGAGCTACCACACTTCGACTATGTTCCGCTAAACTCTGCGAGCACTCATCAGTGCTCTTACTGGGGAGAAATTCGTTTCGTCAAGGACTGACAGTATCAGTGGTGGACTTATACCAGGGGCAGTCGGGGCAAGTGCCCAGGGCGGCTAAGGACAATGCCCAAAAGTGGGCTAACTTTATGTCAAAACTATTTGTACTTGAAAAACTATGCCTTATTTTTTCACGTTGTTTAGTTTATGTATCAACATTTCTTTCAACCTGGCATTGTTTTACAAAAAAAAATACTTATTTGATAACATCCCAAAACTGAGTGCCATAGTTTTTAAATTCGCCAATAGGCAAAGGGCTTAGCCCATAAAGCCTTATAGTAAACCTTTAAGCTGCCAAACGAAAGAGTTGTCTGTGACTTGAACAACAAATAAAAAAAATTGCTAATGGTTATAATTCACAGACTTTTTAGTTTATTTTTGTTCAATTCAATATTTATTTATTGTAATAATAATTATTACTTACTTATAACCATGAATTATTTAATATTTTTAGATATTATTGATTCCATTAGTAAAAAACTCAATGGCCTACCATTACTCTATTCTTATTATATATGATCAGAGAGTTTTGGCAGCAACCCGAGTGAAGCGTCACTAGAAGTTTTATTTTAATGTTTTTTTAATAGTTTATTGTGATGTATAATATATAAATTGGGTGTTGTTTTGTGTATTAAACGTCAAGAATGTTCACATTGTTCACGATTATTGTGGCATTGGAATAAAACTGTGGCTAACATAGCAGTGACTGTTTTTTTTTTTTCAAGATAAAAGGTCTGCGGAAATTCACGCTCACTCAGTGTGCTATTCATCGAGCTCACGTCAAAACTCCCAAAAAGCAATAAAAAGAGATACACCAGCTTTTTATTGAAAAAAAAAATTTGACTACGACAGACTAGGCTGTATAGGCTACGCTCTTTGCCTGCTTATTGGCGAATTTAAAAACAACAACAACAATATCGTTGCCGGCTCCGGATTTTTATTACATTTTATTATTATTATGAGGATATAATAATAATAAAATGTACGTAAGGGGTTATTTCTAGCAACATTATCCACAATTAACTTATTTAATACTGTAAATAATGATGAGAGCGATTATTGATTTCGAAGAAAACAATTAACAACTTAATTTTAGCTGCAGAAAAAAACATATTTCTCTTAAACCTAGATGAGAATATAAAAATCGTTTTCTGAATATGAAACGATATTTCTTTGTCTATGAAATTCGGTTTTTCCAATTAGCTTTTTTTATGTAATATAATTATGAGTCACCCTTAGTGCAAAATTAATAATTGTTAGAAAAAAAACCAAATATTTATTTATGGTTTTGGAACATATAACATATTATGATAAAGTTTCTGCAAAAAATTTGTTATTTTAATTGTGAAAAATAAAATATATTAACTATAACTTTAGGTAAAATTCCAGTGTTGGGGTGGATTTTTTTCCGGTGCCCAGGAGCGGCATTAAGTCTAAATCCGGCCCTGGACAGTATACAGTCGCAGTTTTTTTTCTTCGTTTTTTTTCCTACCTAAGCTGAGAGCCTTGAGAGGCTATACCAGCGTAGCGTTAACTAGTAGGTGAGCTCACGGGGCTCAAACTTGATGACGTTGCTAACACGAACCCTAGCAAGAGCCGTGCTTCGCAGATCCGGATCGGAAGCGCGACGCACTGAGAAGATCCGGCGAGAAACTCAGTGGGCTGTGTCTGAGGGCTAATTTACTCGTCAAGCCCTTCGTCGCAAGCGACGGGTTCGACGAGGACGATGACCGATGCTTGAGGTACCTAGAAGCATCGTTAGTGGATCGGGAGGATCCGAAATGACGTGTTTTGGGCAACGTCCACTGCTTTCCATTCTATCCGCAGGATCGGGAATGTAGTTACCGGCGGCCACGATGAGAGGGTTCTCGTGTCGTGCCGCTTTATCGAAGTGGGGTCGCAGTATCCACTTCCATTATATTAACCATTTCTACTTCCTACACTAGCGCTATTTCGGCGAGTCTTAGAAGAATAGAATAGAATTTTGATTCATTGTTTATGAACCTATTCGATGAACGATCATCAATATTATTCTTGGGGCTTAGATCATTGTATCGATAGAATAATATAGCATGGTTAAGCTGTGTAGTCAGAATATATTACAAAACAAATTATATTTTTCTACTGTCTAGTTCTAAAATTTCAAGAGAGTTAAATACTTCTCATTTTTATTATAATTATTTAATCGATTTAACTCAAGGGCACAACACACAGAATGAAAAACAATTTTCGCATGTGCGTGATATTTATTTCACTGAACATTTTCCATGACAATTTAGCGCGTTATTATTAATGCGCCCAAACGTTTTACTATGTGATAAGTGCGTTTTGCATAACGATCCAAATATACTTAGGATTATGCATACGGTAATAATTTACATGGACAACTACACAATAAATATAACAATAATGAACCAATGTACAATACAATGTATAAAATTATTAATCTAAAGCAAAAATTTGTGGCTTTTCGTTTGTCCAGAACATTAATTTTCTAATCAGTGCTTAATAACTATGCAAGTCATATAGACGATATGTTTAATGTAAATAATAATAATAATATTGTAACGATTTCAGAAAACAGGAATTGAATTTTTAAACTGCGCTTTCGTCATTAGACCATATATTATTATGGTCTTTAGAACATAGCTAAGTTTCTACCGATTTATTATAGTAAGTAGTAATATTATCACGTATAAAATCTATTCCAGTTGCAAATAAAATGCAATAATATTAGGAAAATAAAACAAAATATAGTAACGTCATATTTGAAATGTTCACACTAATAATGTATGCTACATATTTCGATGTTTAAACAGGTTTCATTTCTTTCAAATAACCTCAGCTTTCAGCTTTCAATATTATTAAATTATACTGAACGTGACGCTGAAATCCGAAGGCATTTTTATAAAAAAAAACTTGTATTGATTTTCGATAAACAATTTAATGCAGTTTTATAGTATTGAAACATTTTAAAACTTCCATATCAACCCATCCATTACATCAAATTGAATGCATGTTAATAGTTTTATACCCATAGCTTAATAATAATAAAAAAATGTAATACGTACAGCCGAATTTAAGAACTCAATAATAAATATAGGAACCCTGACAAAATTATCAAACTGTTTAAAAATCTTTGCTTTTTTTTTAATTTTGAAGTAGATACAATGCTTCTGAAAATTAAGTTACACTAAACCATGTAATATACGAACAGCAGATATCCAGTATAAAATAATCGCCAAGACGCAACATGCATAACATAACAGATTTTTCTAGGCATAATACAATACAAATACCTGCAATAACAAATCAAAATTTACAATTTTGTAAAATGTTTACAATTTATTTTTCAGTAACGATAATTTAAAACTTTAAAGTTTAATTTGAAGCTCCAAATTATTCAAACGTTTAGCGGATAATTAAAATTTGTGGTAATATTGAACAGATAGTTTTAGACACTTGAGTAAAATTTTGAAAGTCGGCGTTTATCTGCCATTATCGTAGATTCTAAAGGGTGCCGATGCGTTTGCGCGTGACATGTTATGATCAATCCTTATGTGTACTAATGCGATGAGCATACGTAGGACATATTTATAAAAAAAATCTTAACACTCTTCTTTTAATGTTGTTCGAAAAGTATTTTGTAATTGACTTTAAACAAATTCCTTGATGAATTATAGGCTCATTTTAAACAAACCCGTAGGTCAAAATCTGATAACAATCCAAAGAAAGCTAAATGTGGAAGAAGGTTTTTGTAACTTTTCAGTTTGTGTCGGGTTTTTATATGTTTACTTTTTTCAAATAATGTGGAAATTAGGTAACAATGAATGTTTTCTAAAAAACAGTTCTGGGAAGAGTTAATTGCCATAAATACATAAATTTAAGAAAAATAGACACTGCATTCAAGGAATTATTACAGAGTGTCTGAATCTGCAATATGTGAGAAATAGTGGCCTAGAAATAGTGGAATTGGGCCAAATCGGCTGGTACCTATTAGCCGAGTCCAGGCTCGTTCTCAATTCTAACATGATAATATTTCTGATGAGGCAAGAAATTTAATGTGTCCGCTTTAAGTTGCGAGCATG